TCTCGTGCAGAGCCTGACTGTGGTTCCTCCGCTTCTCCAAGGACCCGATATTCCTTCCCGCTCCTCTCACAGCCTCGTCGCTCGCGTTGATGATATCGAAGTCATATACCACAGAGCCACATGCAAAGGCCAAAAGTTGCTGTCAGCAACAACCTCTCCGCATGACGCAGCAGCCGCCTTTGTCAACCCGATTGATAGCCCCTGGACCAACCCCATCCAACAGGAGCTTGAAACTTGGGGCTACAAGATCGAGAGTGACGATGGCACCCCCCAATTCCGCGCAAGTCATGAGGATGAGTGCGAGTTCGAGCACAGCCACAAGCTCAAGAGCATGTTCGATGACCTCAGGATCGATACGCGTAGTACCTACCAGGGTGGACCTAATCGGTGTTACTTTATTAACCACAAAGACGGTCCGGCAGTACGGCGCGATAATCAGGGAGATCTACCACCCGTCAAGCAGCAGTGGTATAAAGCCAACGACCAATACTATCGTGTAGGTAAAAGAAGATAACGGCCCATGCACGTCTTACTGACAACATCTTCTCTTCGCAGGTCACCAACGCCGAGTTCGTAATCGGCGTAAACCCAGCATCAGGTCTCATTGCAATGACCAATCGTCAGAGCCCCGCCACGAGCGCGCAAGCCCTCTGGGGCCTCTCCAACCCTCCGCCGAACGATGAGCTTCCCGCACTGAAATCGAGCTCCGACATTATGTGGGGACTGTGGAATTTGGCGAGTCCGAACAACCTGCGCGGCATCAAGTACATCCTTAGTACGCCTGTTATAAACGACGAGACGGTCGCGATAATCAAGAAAATCTTAGAAGACAACTGCCTCGACTTGGATGAGCTGATGACCTGGTCGGGCTGCGAGTTTGGGTCAGATGAGCCGGAGTATCTCGCTTTGCTCGGTAAGTCGTATCTCGGTTCGACGTTCTGGGATTGAATTATTGACTTCGACTGTTAATGCAGGATCTCCGAATGGACAAGCCGTTGGGTACTTCCTGGCGCAGCACAAAACCCAGCTCGGCGGAAAATATGTGTCGAAAATCAATATCTTCAAGGGAGATGATGCACACATGGTTGCCGTCTGCCTCCTTTTCACGATCGACGATAGGGCTGGAGCTGCGAGGGCCGCTATCAGGGGTGAGTCGAACAGCGAGGGTCGCGTTGACGAAGCGGTAGTCGTGAAGCGATTCGACTATGAGAAGAATGTTGTGAGACGGCATATTGTGTGGGCGAAGTTATAGATGGCTAGAGACGCGTCAAGATGGCGTGTTTTGATGTACAGCTACGGCTTAGATCGTAAGATCTGGCTTCAAGGGCTCATATAGACCTAGACAGGGTGGTAGACTCGTTGGTTAAACGAATTTCTATATTTAATAGAGGTGTTTACAAATATCGTTACAAAAAGGTGACTTCCCGGACGTATGTCAGTGATGGTGTTGGTGGACAAGAAGCGTGGACGCGCATCGCAACCTCGGCAAACGCGCCGCTTATCGATAAGCCACCATTGCGTAGCTTCAGGGTCGCCATCGTCATCTCTCTTTCAACCCACAATTATCACAATGTCTGCAAGCGTCCTTATCGTTGGTGCCGGCGCCATTGGGGCCTTCTATGCCTCTCGTCTTGCCCTCGTCCCTGGTACCTCCGTCTCGGTCATCTGCCGCTCCAACTACAAAGCCGTGAAAGCGAACGGCTTCCAAGTTACCTCACCGCAATACGGCGATTACACCTTCGTACCGGCCAACACCTTTGCGAACCCCGACGAAGCAAGAGCGAGCGGCATACAGTGGGACTTCATCGTAGTCAGCACGAAAGCGTTACCCGACGTGAGCGATGACTCGACGATACTTGAGGGGTTAGTCAGCGATAAGACGGCCATTGTGCTGATACAGAATGGATTGGGTGTAGAAGAACCGTACACGAAACGATTCCCACAGGCTGCGATATGTTCGGCGGTCACGATAGCAACCTGCGCGCAACCCGAGCACGGCCAGATCAAGCACAACAGATGGACGCGAATAAACAGCGGACCGTACCTGCCCCATCTAGACACCGGGAGCAGAAAAGATAGCGACGTACGCGTCATCTTGATGAACGACGCGTTCATCGAGATGCTGAGGCAAGGAGGCATCAAAGACGCCGAAGCCTACAGCCATGCCAAACTGCAACTCGTCCGCTGGCACAAGATCGCCATCAACGCCTCCATGAACCCAACCTCGGTCCTCACCCTTTGCCTCCCGAACAACGTCATGTCTCTCGACCCAGAACTACAGCGCCATCTCAAAGGTGTCATGACTGAGATCCTCGAAACCGCTCCTAAGATCCTTGGCGAGCCCATGCCCAAGGAGTTTGCGACCCCCGATCAGATCATTCGGTCGACACAAAAGAATACAAGCGGTAGCAAGCCGAGCATGGCCATAGACTGGGAAGCGGGCAAGAAGATGGAGATTGAGGTCATTCTTGGCAATCCATTGAGGATTGCGCGGGACAGGGGCTATGAGATGCCGCGCCTACAGAGTTTGTATGCGATGGTCAGGATGGCGCAAGAGGTCAGAGACCAGAAGAAGGACAATAAGTTGTGAGGAGCTGGAATGTTCCCGTTGATTGAATCCTTGATTGCTTCCTTTGTGTGTGGTCTGCCTCATCTGGGTAAAGCGAGCTCCATCCCAAACTACAAACTTCATGTCGACAGGGCCGCAGGCAACCGTTGTATCCGGCCGTACTGATATATACTTCCCCCTGCCATGACACTTATACGTTTGCAAGAAACATGATATATAGCAGAAGATTGCTCGAGACTCTGCTCACGACCCTGGTGCCAATGTTTCAAAGGGATCCGTGTCGTCATAAGAGGTGGTTGGGAAGTGAAGGTGAACGCAACGACTTCGAGATCTGCCACCATCACCAAAAGTAGGAATCAGTTTTGCAGCCGACCCATTTTGACTATTCTTTATTATCGAGCGCTATTGTTGCATTTGAAGAAGCCGATAGTGGTGTGGAAGGAGGGCAGCTCAACCTTGGAACGTTGCGACCCTATTGGGAGACGCGGACCGTGGCTATCACAATAGCAAAATATAGAAGGTGAAGGCGCCTCTCACCAACCTCTTTTTTTGCGAGCCGAAGACAATAGCTTGGGTTAGCTGCCTATCGCCCCGGTCTCTCCTTCGTATCCTCCACAGCTTTTCTTTCTCAACCACCGATTACAACTTCCCCATATCATCAACTTCCTCACATACATATCATCGATCGTTACTACTGCAGACAAGATGAGCAGGCTCTCTGATCAGCAGTTGCGAGCACAGTGGCTCAGCAAGGCGACCCCTGAACAGCGACAACAGTGGTTCAACAAGGCGCCACCAGACCAACAGCAATGGTTCCGCCAAATACAGCGTGCTAGACAGCAACAAGGACAGCAGCAGCAAGTACCGCGCGAGAACAGTCAACACCGAGAGAATGCGGCCCGGAGCCCTTCTATCGACAGCCTGAACGGACCAAGGTCGTATACCTCGAGCCCACTGGCTGCACCCTCAACGATGGCCACGGTAACGACCGCTTCGCCTCTGAGCACGAAAGCAGTGCGAGCACCGACAAATGCATCCTCACCTACGCGAAACGAAAATGCAGCGACGCTGAGCGCCGTCTCACATATTCCTATTGTGCCACGCTCGATGCAAGCACCGAACGCTAGCGAAATTCGACATCATCAGCAAAACAACGCTTTTCTCGCTTCTAAGCAGACTCAGCCGCGCATGCTACCCACGGACGACGTCGCTCGCTACCAGAAATCACCACCCAGACAGAGCCCTTCGCATGTACAAATGAAGCTGCCACCCTCACCGACACGGCCAGGTTCATCGCCATCCGCGCATGCGGCAGCATATCCCACCATGAACCAAAAGCGCCAGGCCACAGACGCCCCAGAAGGCGACATGCACGCAGGCAAGAGACAAAACACGATGCAGCATGCGATGTCACCTCCCGCTGCGCCGTTCGCTCCCATCGGTCAACATGATCCTCTCAACCCAGGGCCATACAATCGTATGAGACCAGTTGCTTCAGCCAATGGCATTGCGGCATCTGTCAACCGGATGAGCCCCGAAGACATCGCCCGAGACCGTCGCCTCCAGCAGGCCAAGCTTGCAGAGCAGCGCGTTCGGGCGCAACAAGCCCACGACGCCGAGAAAGCCCGCGAGCGGGAGATCTACAATGCCGCGACCGCTGCAGCCCTCAAGCGCGAGCAAGACGACGCGCGAAGGGAGTTTCTGCGCAAAGACCCTAGCGCGAACTACCGCCACATCCTCGAGGTATACGCATTGTCACCGCTAGACCCCAAGAAAGACGAGTACCCCAATCGCTACTTGACGGGTCTGCTCGCAAACCGCGTCATGCCCATGGATCTCGACTGCGACCTTGCGCTAGCCATTGTGTACGCGAAGGATCACTGGGACTACTTTGGACAGTGGCCCAAGGACATCGAGCGCTTTGCGGGCTATGAGAGGGAGAGGAGGGACAAGGCGGCGAAGGATCGGGCTTAGGAGACCGAGAGGGCGCTGCGTGAGTGCCCTGGACCTGATCGTGCGAGCTCAGAGGCTTTGGAGGCCTTGGAAAAACGCTTGCGTCCGATGTTTTTGAAGTTTTTGAAGTATACGGTGTAGCGTGAAGTGATGGAAGTAGCTTGCAGAGGGGCATGTAGCCGTCAGGGTGCACTCAACTTTGGGATGAATCATCTCATGATAGCTGTCCTATGGTGTAGTGAATATCACGGCTACACCCACATGAGCTACTCGTGACTCCATTTGAGCGATAACCACAGTGAATACTCGAGACAATCGGGGCTAGTTCCCCAAATCACGGGGTCTGACGTTATTTTCTCGTCCACAAGTACCACGACTTCTCATTCTCACAGTTCACACACCTACCGCACGCACTTCCGATCAAGAACCATCGTTCAATTCCAAGGAGACTCTCGCCATTACCGTCCACCCCGACAAGATGGCCGACCAGCTCACCCAGATACCCGCCTTGGTTACACCCACACTTCAGCGTCACAACAAGAGACGCCGCTCGACATCGATTGCGCCAGAGCAAGCTGTTTTCCTTCCTGGCGCCGGCCCATCGAACGATGAGAACAATCCGACAACCACTCCACACAGACAGCGCCACCCCGACGACACCACTACACATAAGCGCACGAGGAAAGCCCATGGGGTCAAGCGCCGACGTATTGCTGGCGACTTCAATCCGGTCCACAGCCCTGGTTCCCCCCGTTCATCCGACTTGAAAGAGGTGCGATCACAGATTGCGCCGACTGCAAACCCATCAAGCATTGATCCCGTCTCAGGCGGAGATGAACCCTCCAAAGACATCACCGCCCTCCCGGTCGACTACATATCATCTCAACCCAACCCCATTACCAACACTCTCAAGCAGACTCCCCAGATACCAGGTGGAGACCGCAAGAAGAAGTTCAAAGTCTGGGAAGACGAGCCGCAGCCGTCTAAGCCAGAAGACCCAACACCAGCCGCCGCAAAGTTGCTGCAATATATCACCAATACCGGAGCTCAACGCAGGTGTCGCCGCGTAGAGGGACATACGCCGCGGTTCCGCGCGCAAGAGGCTGATTACTATTATCACCCCAATCTCAAGGACTTCCACTTTCCACAGGGCGTCGCCCCACCCACTGAGGAGGTTATCGAAAAAGCGGCTCAGAGTGAGCCTGACGCGCCCACCGCAGAAGCAGAACAGGAGACCCAAGACGCACAGCTTGACATTGCACAGTCATTGAAGCGGAAAGCCGATGACGATCTTCGAGAGCGCGGTGCAGAGAAGCTGAGGAAGCTTAATGGCCAACAACCTTTGCCTTGGATAGTCCATGGCAAGATCCGACATGATCCAGTTCAGGACTTTGCGACTGAGTACTTCACCATATTCACACCGCCGCTATCCTCAGCATCTGCGGAAGACGTGCTCTATGCGGTCATACCAGACCTGATCCAGAAAGAGATCGATACAGCGCCTGAGACAGTTGAAGCTCAACAACTACCAACACCCATCTCCGAGCCCGTATCCAACGAGGTGTTGTCGCCTCCTATATACTACAACCTGAACCCATCCAGCATAGTCCATGTCCCGGGGAACGATGAGCCAGCCCTGGATAAACTAGAGTCAGGATCTCTAGATTTGGATGCTATCTTGATGGGAATGACACAAGATTATGCATCCCCCACCGTCGAGGAAGATGTTTCAAAAAGATTCGGTACCTACAAATCACCGCCACCACAAGACGATGAAATACCTGCCGGAAAGAAAGCTGCATTCGCTGGCTTTGGTACTTACCAACCACCGCCACAAGTCGTTGCTGCTACATCTCCAGCGGTCGAAAAAGACGCATTTAAAGGGTTCGGTACCTACAAATCACCGCCACCAGAAGACAAAGAATTCCCCGTCGTCAACAAAGATGCATTCGAGGGATTTGGTATGTGCCAACCACCACCACAAACCGTTGCTGCTGCACCTCAGCCCGCTCCAAAGATTGTGACCACAGTTCCCTCTCTGATAGACAGGAACAATCACGCCATCATCAAGACGGGCGTAGCCTACAGCCAGAGTTATGACCCAGGAAACCCGCGGAACTTCAAGCACTACCTCGCTCAGTTCACCGATCGACCTGCGGTTCCGCGACCACGAGAGCGCGAGTATCGCCCGATGCCCGAGATGTTGGAGATCGAGACTCTGAACCAGCGATTAGACTGGGTAGTCCCGAATGGAGCAGAAGCTCCCCAACTTTTCCGCGACATGCCAGCACCACCACCTCACATCGACTCAGAGTTAGCTCGTTGTGTTCGCTTCGCCCAGTCCGACGCGCAAGGACGCGTTAACTGGCGAGCGCATCCCACCCATGTCGCCGAAATCATCCAGCGCACCAATTTCTACGGAATGGAGTTGCTGGTCAGTCGGAGCGAAATGCGCATCTCGTCACCTCCGACGGCGGACGAGTTCGAGCTAGCCATGGCAACTCGACTTGCGCATGTGTCTTTTGGTATGGACACGAAGGACTACATTGCGGCCGATGTGCCAGCTATCGTAGAGTACTTCTCGGAGAATCTTCCATCGGCGATCAGCGTCTTCCCAACAGAAGAGGAAGACTGCTTCCGCGCCTTCACGGACTATTATCGCGTGATGTTCGAAGAGAACTATCCACCACTGACTGCTCTCGGCTTGCCAGAATGGCAAGCCTTACTGGATGCGGAGAAGGGCAAGCCCTCTCTTAAAGCACAGACCCTGCAAGGCATCGTCCAGTCCATCAAAGGACTGGCTTCACACTGTCCTGGCGATACAGGCAGAACAGATATTCTAAAAGATCAAGTGTCTCACGAGAAGCCTGACACGGAAAACGAGCACCTCAGCAACGCTCGTCGGGAACTTGGCCAGACCCTTGGCGTGGGTAGAGACAGCTTCGCCGGAGACCTACAGTGGCCCGATCACCTGACCAACGCCGCTCTCCCTAGCGTGGCTCAGAGAGAGGAAGTGCCGCATTACGATGCAAACCAATTTCCTTACTGGAACAACACAGAAGTGCCAGGAGAACATACCCATCCTTTCGTACCCGAAGCAAATGCAAGGGTTGAAGATGTGCACGGCGATTACTATAACCCAGAGGGCTGGTCTCGCAACGATCTGAATGCGATGATGCCGTGGGATTCTGGGCTGGATACCATACCATCAGGCTTCAGCGCAGCTCCATTGAACTATGGCGCTATGGAGCATTACTTGAATCCGTCGACATTAGACGCTTTCAACGACGCTGAGCCGGAAACACTGTTGTAAGGATATCGGGCCTGGATAGGTCCAATCGAGGATTAACAGATATCTTAACGGTCTTTGTGCCGTATTTGGTTGGTGTGTTAGTGGTTGTGACTCTTGTTCAATGATGGCTTCTCGCCTTCAAACACGGATATTGTGAGTGGCTCGCGGTCGCTGGCGCCGAAGGAGGATTGAAGCAGGTACCAAGGGTGGCCGCAACGTATGTTGCATTCTACAAAGATAGCATTGAAGACTTTTCGCACATAGAAGATGGATTTACATAGAAATCATCCATTCATTAAAGTTCCACAGTGTAACAGAAAGGTGCGACGCAACTTTTAGCGATCGCCAGTGCAGATGCCAGCACAAGCATAAGAGAAATGGAAGCGACTAGTGTGCCTGCAAGAGAAGTGATGACTGTAAAACCTGGAAGATTACTTCCATCAGAACTTGTGCATTGCGACGGACGGCATTGGTCCTTCTTGTTGGCGAAGGTGTCGGCCATGGTGCCACAACACGCGTACCATGGATGGAGATCAGCCTCAGCGACTTCCACAGACTCATCGAACGAAGACAAACCAAAGTTCCAGCTCAAGCTAATACTAACACAACGGAAGATTATATATTTCCATGTAGATTGTCGGACAGTACGCCATTCTCCTTCCTTACCACCTACCTTCCTTCCAAGCGCGCATTGAAGCCATCTTACCATGACTCCACCACGTACAGCGACAGCACCACATATCGAAACCGGTACCAAACCGGCCCCGGCAAAGAACCCACGTGGTCGACCACGCAAAGATGGGCTCCCGGCAGGATCAGTACCCAAAAAGCCCAAGACGCCAAAGCGAGCGCGTGCAGATACTCCGACGGAAACCCAAGGACAGCCTGAGAAACGAGGCCCCGGTCGTCCACCCAAGAACAACAAATCGCAGGGCGCCAAAATTCCATCAGCACCGCCATCATCGCCTAATCCCTCTGCACCAATGAACCCCATTCCAAGCCGTGGCCCACAGGAGGGAAGCATCATCGTCTCTGCGACTGAAGAGACTTCCAATGTACAGATCACGGTTGCAACCCCGAGTGACGTGACTGTGCGCTGCAGTGAGGAAACGGACATAAGTGAACAAAGGTTTCAAGATACTCTGAGGTTCTGGGAGGAGGCCGAAAGAAACGAGGAGCTTGGTTTGGAGGTCAGTGAATGGAAAAGGCAGAGGGAAGATGACGCATTAGACTTTGAACTGTTCAAATATAATCATGAGCATGATGTGGAGCCAAGTCGCAAGCGCGTGGCATTCGCGGACGAAGAGGACGAAGAAGAAATCGGAACAGAAGGGTCGAAAAGAAAAGCGGAACGTCGACGTCAGAAGAGAGAATGTCGAGATTACGGCTGCTATGAAGAGGACTGCAGAATCGGCCATGCAGTCAGAGCGAATGTCGCGCGTTACATGGTGGGTCTTGACGAGCGCACGGAGGCGTTGCGGTCTCTGGTGGTGAAGACGGATGATGAGGTGATAGAAGAAGGGACACGGCCCATGACCTTCGACTACCCCTGGTTGATTGCACGGTGATAGCAGTAACGGAGGAGGAGCTGTGTTCCCTTCTGGTATCGTCAATTTAATGAGTTCGAAGGCCTGAAGAGGTATGCAGATAATATCAGCTTGACTCTTTCGCGCGTGCTGATATGAGAATGAACCTAGCAACACTCTATACAGCACGAGTAGACTGATTCTATCTCGTAGTCAGCATCGTAATTTGGCCCATTTTCAGAAGTTGGCGCGATGTTGAAGGTGCATGTGAGAGCTCCTATTTTGTGGGTATCGCTGGGCTGTATACGCAGAGTGTCGACGTCGCAAGAAGGTTAGATGCGTATGACCAACAAGACGCAGCGGTTGGAAAAAGATGTGAGTATATACGTGTCGCGATGCGCGTTGATGAAGACGATTTCGACCCGAAGGTGCACACCTGCAGGTGGCACATGGCTCCGGGGGCTGAATTCGCTACTGCTTACGCTAAGCCATATGCGGAGAGGTCATGATTAGAACTTGGACGTTTACAAAGTGCGCAGTCTCTGTTATTCCTTATGTAAGACTCTTGTCACGAAAAGATCACTTCAAAATTGAGACTCCCCATGCCTCAAGTCGAGTGTTGGGGAAGATGAGATGTGTCTCACGTGATGAGGAGCCACCAGGCAGCCCCACATCGGCGAATTGTGTCGTCTAATCTCCGGCGGCAAGCTTCAACGCGTCAACGCGTCTCTTTCACGCACGACACTCAAGCGCGATGCGTTCGAGCAGACCAAGGACGCGTCTTCAGAATTGTCTATATACTTCGCAAAGCTACGATCAACTCGTTTCGACTGTGTCACAATGTTCTTTACAGGGTGTTGGCCGCCAACTCCTGGTGTCATCCCCATCGCACCTACTACAGACGTTCCCTCGAAGTCTCAGTGCTGAATCTCCAGAGGAACTTAGAAGGTTGCGACCATCGCACGTTTGTGTAGAGGTCTACCGAAGTCCGCTGAAGCCATGGTAGTGTGCGCAGAAGAGAGAACAGCCGAAGAGCATGGGCGTATAGCGTATTAGAACCCACCGATAGGCGCGTAAAACTCTTAGATGAACTTCTAACATTATGAAAGGGATTTCATCGTATCGTATCGTTCGACCTGTCTACGGTGCTTGTCACAATGCGTATGGAAACATGTATCGCAAACATGAGAAATCCAGCGGACCGAAGACAGGGAATGACTTTGCATGAGTACATCAGTTGTGCGACGAGCTCTTTCGCTCCTTACGTACACGGTATCGTCTGCAATCACCTTCGACTACAAGTGTCCAGCGCAAGACCTCGCGACTCGAGGTCGAGGACTTTGGATGAAACGATACACCTTCTGTTCTATCTTGTCCTCGACGGCGTACTGAGTCACTGTATCCGCGATCAGCCTGCGTCGGTTCGGGTGCGACCGCGATACTCAACATTGAAGGCGAGAGATAGTCGAATAGACGTCAAGGTCCTCTGCCATTCGTTATCTCCGACTCGATACCGATGTCGCCATTGCTCCCTGAGCAAATATCCTATCCCCCTGACGTCACCTAACGGTATTATCGAAGATCACAAGTCCTGATTACGCCTTACACGCATGTTTCCAGAGTAACGCGGGCAAAATTGAGTCACCTGCCTTCCGAAGTTGGCTAAATGAGCCGTTCTCGCCCTTCATGTGGTCACTCCTGGATTGGCGAACGCGGGGATTGTTTCAAACTCACCTCCATGATCCTTGATGGTAGGGTTCAGATTGGCCCAGCTCCGTCAATGCGGCCTTTCGTGCTCACATTTTGCAGACCCTCACGTCCGAAGCGCTAGCACATTGTTCAAGCGGCAATTGGATTGCATCTTGCTCTAGCTTTGAGCCAAAGCGCCTCTCCATGCGTCTGCTAAAGCCGTAAACAAAGGTTCCTTCTTCCGCGGCTGCCACAGCATTGCAACAATATATCGTTGACGCGGCTCGCATCTACCAACACCTTCTACATACCTGTATACCTGACTTCGTCGAATTACCCGTCTTACTCTATATTAACCGAGTTGCAGACTCTCGGCCAGTAAGTTCCATACTCAGCAGTGCAAGCAATTCAAGCACCGCTCAAACCTCCATCCGATTGCTACAACGTTTCCTCTACCAAGCACTAATCCTTGTATCAAAGGCATCATGGCGAGCAATTCGAAGACTCCTTCAGCCAACTCATCTCCGGTCAAAGGGGCTAGGGTTGAGAAACCAGCTGCCATGAGCAAAGCACGTTCAAAAAACAAGGACGGCTCGATCCACGCCTCCCCAACTGACATCTTCGGTCCAAACGCTGTTACCCGGTATCTCCGCATCCCGCAAACCGGCAACATCACCGGTGCGGAACTGATGACGTTTCTTCCCGCGCTGATTCGTAGCCCCGGCGTTCTTGTTCGATTCGTCCAGAACGGTGGCGATGCCTACCCCATCGTTAGGATCCACAAATGGTTTCGAGTCGTGGTGAAGAACAATTCTCGGCAAGACGCCACCAATGCCGTGATTCACTTGGCCCAGGGGACGATGCGACACTATCTTCAGGACGATCAATGGACTATGACTCGCCACAAGGCCGGTCTTTACCCAAAAGTCGGCCAGGCTTGGGACCACGATAACTTGACTCTTGCCGGCGTCCAAAACCACTGCGAGATCCAAGTCCCGGGTAGCCGTCACCATAAGCCGGTCGTCGCTAACGTCCATTTCGCGTCACTGGCAGCTGACGTTAGGGTATACCCATCCGGCGACGACGAGCTCGATCTGACCCGCTGTGTCAAGGCCGCTGTCGCCAATATCGACCTACCGCTGATGTTTCCACGAGACTTTAACTGGCTCACTCAGCTCTTGGGTGGTCCCCGGACGGTACTCCCTGCTCATCGAGATGGCGAGCTGTTTGGTCGTTGGAGGAATGTGGTGTGGGAGAACATGCCAGAGCCGGAGGCGATCCAGGCTGCGACAAACCTTACGCATCACATGTTCACAGCAGCACAGCGGACGGCCACCGTGCAGTATCTTCAGCAGTTCCCTGTTGTTCAGGCATTTACGTTTGTCCAACAGCCTCCTTCTGTTCAGTTGCCTGTCCCCGCGCCTGGTGGCCCTGTGAGGATGACGAACCATGCTGGCCCTTCTCGCGCACAAGCTCCTGCTGCAGCCAGCGGTCTTTCATCTATTAACTCGTTGATCCTTAGTCGGATCATGAACAACACTGCCGCCGACTTGTCACATGTCCTAGCTACGATACAAGAGGATCAATTGTACGCGTTGTATGTCAGCGTCTTGGCCGCTAACGGCATCGTGCCTATTAACCGCCGCGCGGAGCATACACCTGGCCCGGACACTCTAGACAACTCCCTTGTAGATGATCGTAGTCTTCCCGACCTCATCGAACCAGCTGCATACGACGCCAGGGCTGTATCTCCATCTGGCCCTTGGGACAACGACATGGGCGCTAATGACAACGAGTCTCAGCCCACAAATCCATTCGAAGAACAGCTTGACGACGACACTGCCTCATTTGCGTCTCTTGATCTCAGCATGATCGACCCTGAGGTCCTCAAGAGCATCGATCCTGAGATCCTGGACAGCATCAACCGTGAGCTCGGCGGCTTCGTTGACCAGGGAAACGATACGGAACTCGCCCAAGCCAACCCGGAAGACCACGACCTCGGTTTGCAGGACAATAATGCCAATGATGGAACCGTCCAGGAGACTACCATCCCTTCCATCGTGGTCCACGACGTCGACGGCAGCACTGCCGAACACCCCGCTGATGAATCTTCCTCTCGTAAAGCATAGCGTGGTCAGACAACATCAGAATTCGGGTCACTACAGAGGTTGATGGGTATTGGATAGATGTACATCGGGATTGGAGCGCCTTTCGAGCGCGGTGTTGGAAGAGATCAGCGAGCATGGCATGGCGTCTCTGAGAAAGCTTCCTGGAAGAGTTGGGCGTCTTGTGAATTCTTCGCACTGTACCCCTTCCATTCAGTCTTTTGCTTTGAGTAGACCCATATCGTATATACTGAATCGTGAAACCGTTGACAAGTGCGCCTTCACGTGTAAGCCTTATCCGCATTGATATGCAACGTGGGTATCACCAGCAACCAGATTAACACGTAACATAGTGTTGGACTGCGAGAATTCGATATTATCAGTCCTTTACATCCGCCTATTGTCGTATTATCGCACAAAATAGTCACGATGTTGAGAATACCCAGAAGGAGATCCAGGAGTCAAGACGTCCAAGGCGCAACTCAAAAGTATTCTCAGAGCCAAGCCCAACGCCCTCCCAGCTCACATACCATCCCTAATGACCTCCTCACTGACCCAACCAATCTCATACCTATGCGCAGCGATACACTCAAGATGCCAGTCATACTCCGTCCAAACACTACCAAACAAGTCAAACTGCTGCTTAGCCCAACGTATATTCTCAGCCCAGTCACTAGTGTCCTTCGGATGAGGCTGGCTCAGCAGGTGAAGCTCGCGGAACGGGGCGTGGCGGCGAGGGCCGTTGAAGCGGGCGTAATCGTAGGCGGACGCGTACATCTTGGGGAACGAAGTGTGTGGAGGGGACGCGTAGAGGTAAATGCTGTAGTCGTCGATGCGGAGGCGATCCTCTGAGAGGAAGGGAGCGGGGAAGAAAACAGGCTCGCGCTTGAGGTACTCGCGGGCGGCGTCCATGACTTCTGGAGTGAACTCGGTCATCATGTAAGAAGGCACCTTCGTCTGCTGTCGAACTTTCTGGGGTGACGGTCCGATTCTTGTCCATGGTCAGCGGGAGACATAACATCAGAAGCGTAGAATGAACTTACCCAGGAACTTTGAGCTTCAAAGTGCGACGCTCAGGTACAAAAGCAGCCTTGATGTTCAAGCGAGCCTTGCGCGCTGCTTGACGGCCGCGCGCAGCGGGGATGGGCGAAACGGCCTCCTCAGGCTCACTTGCGTCTTCTTCCGGAATATCGTCGTCAGGCTCGGACTCGTCCTCTACGAACTCGTCATCGTCGGCGGACGAGTTGG